TCCCACTGTGTTGACAACGCGCGTCTCTCTCTAAGTTACTTCCATGTAATATTATTTCTATGGTTCACTTGCAATGACTCTGATATTAAACTACAACTGAAGAAGTGCTGAAGTTTCAAACCTAGCAATAAATAAGATTTAACCTCGCCGTACACTCTCGTGAAATTTTTAAACAGCAAAGAATTCTTATCTGAGATTAAGATTGGACATCAGATTATTATATTATGGAAGAATTAATCAACAAAACATTTACAAAGCAAAAAACTAGTAAAGATTTATAAAAACACAAAGATCTGATGTGAAATAAAAATTAGGCAGACAAAAAAAAATTACGTGAGATTAGAAACTGCAGAGCATGAAAATTTACGTTCAATTTAAATTATACAGCAAAGAAAATTACTGAGGCTAAAATTGTGAGATAGAAAAATTGTAAGAGGTAAAAAATTGCAAAGCTAACAAAATTACATAAGTTTAACATTTGCCCGATTTTATCAACGATTCAAACAAGCAATTTACATGAAGTTAAATTATGCCACACTTTTTCAACGATTCAAACGAAGAATTCACATGATGTTAAATTATACCACACTCTATCAACGGTTCAAATAAAGAATTTACGTGATGTGAAATTATGCCTTGATCCAAGTGACTGGTTACTTAAAACAATTGAAAGTTTATGTCCCCAGCTTATTCCAAACAAAATACATGATAAATAAACACAAAATGCATCCAGCGTCGCGAGAAATGGTAATCTTAACTTCTGAGGTGAATACTTGAAATGTTACTGAAAAATGTGCGCAACATTGCAAGTAATGAGACGTAAAGTCAGGCGGATGTAAAATGGTCCTCGGTGGTGCAATTTCCAACGTCGCGAGAAATAAATAGGTCTCGATGAGTTGATGATGATATGATGATAATAACTGCCCAAGGCGAGAAATTTTTAATCCCCCCATACGTCAGTCCACGATATCATGAATTCTACCGTACTTTCACGGTCCTTTTCCCAGAGTGGGACAGTTAGGCAGTTATCATCGTTATCATGATTACACCACCGAGGCATGTGCTCACAACGCTAAAGATTGCTTACATCATCGGGGCATGTCCTCGCAACGCTAAAGATTGATTACACCACCGAGGCCTGTCCTCGCAACGCTAAAGATTGATTACATCACTGAAACATGACCTCGCAACGCTAAAGATTGATTACATCACTGTGGCATGTCCTCGCAACGCTAAAGATTGATTACATCACCGAGAACTATTCTCTGGCAACGGGGAAAACTATATTATCGAGGTATTTCCTCGCAACGCTAAAATTTACATCATCGAGACATTTCCTCGCAACGCCAAAATTTACATCACAACGATGACTGGATACTTTTGTGTTTATTTGTCATGTGCTTTGTTGGGGTACCCAGTTCAAGGTAGTATAAACTTTCAAAGTAAATTGTTTTAAGTAACGAATCACTTGGATCATGACATAATTTAACATAATGTAAACTCTTTGTTTGAATCGTTGATAAAGTGTGGTAAATTTTAATCTCATGTAAATTTGTTAGCTTTGCAATTTTTCACCTCATACAATATTTCTCTACCTCACAATCTTAACCTCAGTAATTTTCTTTGTTGTATAATTTTAATTAAACGTAAATTTCATTCTTTGCTGTTTTAACCTCACATAGTATTTTTATTTGCACAAATTTATTTCACATCAGATCTTTTGTTTTTTTTTTGTAAATCTTTGCTAGTTTTGTTTTGTAAATATTTTGTTGATGAATGTTTCCATCGTATAAATTATCTGATGTCCAATTTTAATCTCACTTGTTGAGTTGTTGTTAATATCAGAGTTATAAGAAATTGAACATTTAAAATGGAATTGAGGTTAAATAACACGGAAACACGTAGCAGAAGCGGAGGGCTCGGCTCCTAGTGGGGGCTAGCGGGATTTGTCGCGCCATCTGCACAAGGGGTGCAGGCTTTGTATAGAGTCATTGGGAACGGTCTGGACGATGTGACGCTGTCAGCTCATTCATAGCCGTGACATCCAACCACTAGTTTTCGACCGTAACGGCCTGGTTACGACGGCATGTTCGTCATGGAGATGTGTTGTGCGGTAGGCTTGAGATAGATAGAATCACCGTCGGGGGGGAGAACAGCCACGGTTGGGAGCCCCAAACTCCGCCTGTGCTAGAACGCCCTTATAGGTATTTTTGTTGTGCTCTTGTTAACTGCCATAATTTTAAATTTGACGCCACGCACCCGTAATAACTTGTATATTTACATCCAGTTACTTTAATTCAGATTTTGCTGTTTTTATTAAATTTGTGATATTAATATTTGGATTGATTCAAAACATAAACGTAGGGTTTTTGTACTTGTTCGGTTTCCCATATGTGTATGTCTGTCAACTTGCGGTTGTCTTTTTTTTTCATATTTTTATGTGTTTCATTTGTGATGTATTATATGTGGGTGAATAAAGCATACGGGCTTTTTTGGAGCTGAGGGGTGAGTGAATGCGAGATGTCGCCCTCGCTCGCAGCACCTTTTCCTCCTAGAGAGGGGTGCGATTTTTAGCCCCCTCCAAACAATTTTGTCTATTATTTCTTGGGCTCTCTACTCGCAAGCAGTGTATGCTCACTTGTACGAAAGAACGCCTTTCCGCCATTTAAAAAAAAAACACAATGTAGGTTCCATTTTATTAGCCGATCATAGCCAAGGCCAAATTTTGAATTTTTGAATTTTTCGCGGGCCTTTCACACTTTTTCAAGTGTCGATTTAAGGCAGGAAGTTTGGGTTATCAGAAAGTAGAAACTCTTTTGAAGCTTACACGTAGCACGCATCTTTACATTTACTTTAACGTTACATACATATGTTTATTTCAGCTTATAGGGGTTCTCAAAAAATAAATAAAATTCGCAATGTTGTTTATTGCTCGTTGAAACTTTAATACTTGTTTAGTTGTTGTTAACATCAGAGTTATAAGAGATTGAATATTTAAAAATGGAATTGAAGTTAAATGACGCAGAAAACGTGGCAGAAGCGAAGTTCGGTTCCTAGTCGAGCTGGCGAGATTGATCGTGTCACCTGTACAAATCCACAGGTTTGGATAGATTCAGGGGCGGCCGCCGATGTTGTAAAGTTTTAGGCTTCGTGCTAGCCTAGATCCTCTTGCGGGTGGGACGACCTAGTTCCGCAGGGCACGTTCGTAATGGAGATATGCGTGTGGGGTAGGGTTTGTGATAGATAGAATCACCGTCGTGGGGGGAGAACAGCTCCAGACCGGTAGCCCCAAACTCTGTTTATGCTACAACGCCCCAGGGGTACTTTTGTTGTGCTCCTGTTAACTGCCGTAGCTTAAAAACAAAATCAGCCGCCACACGCCCGTAATAACTTGTGTATTTGCATCCAGTTACTTAATTCAGATTTTGCTTTATTTTATTAAATTTGTGATATTCAAATATTTGCATTGATTCCAAACAGATGTATAGGATTTTGCGTTTGTTCGTTTTTCATATGTGTATGTCTGTCAATTCGCGAGTGTTTTCTTTCATATATCTTAAGGTGTTTGAAATGTAATATTTCGGTGAAAAAAACCCCAGGGGGTTTTTGGGAATGAAGACCGATGACGCCTTGACCTTGCGGAGTCGCCAGAAGGGTAAGCTGAGTCCCTTTCGCTCTTCGTTTCTTTTCCTCCTAAGGAAGGATTTCGACCTCCCTAATTTTGTCTTATTATTTCTTGCGCTCTCAACTCACATGCAGCAGTATATGCTCACTTGTATGAAAGAACGTCTTCCCGCCATTTTTCAAAAACAAAAAAAAAAGAAACACACACAACGTAGGTTCCTATTTGTTAGACGATCACAGCTAAGGCCAAACTTTGAATTTTTTAATTTTTCGCGGGCCTTTCAAACTTTTTCAAGGTCAATTAAAGGCGGGAAGTTTGGGTTATTACAATATAATTTTCAAATGCGATAACACCTGATCTGATGGTCAGAGTTTTTGGTTCACGACCATACACCAAACTACCTGATTCAAACAAAAATTAAAAAAAAAGATAAAGAAATCATAAAAACTAGAGAAAAGAAAAATGTTTTCATAAAACATTAAAAACCTTTGAAAGTAATAATTTTCATGAGTGCAAATTAAAAAAACTAACAGCTTTTAATAGAGGAGCCCACATTTGTCGAGACGTCAATCAAGGATGACTATTGCGAACGCTCCTCGGTAACAGAGCATCATTCTTCTTCATCTACAGCTACATACATGTGGGGCGAGGGATATATACATTGTATCTCTGTTATGTTAAACAAGTATTATGATGAGGGGCCAATTTCACTTTGATTTAGCGACGTCGCAAAACGGCATTGTTATAGTGATATCGCAAAAATCTAATGGATTGTACATTGTCTCCTGAGATAAAAAACTTTGATTTCTTTTCTTACATTTAACTTTTTGTGCTTTTCTGAACCTATAAAACTATGGCAGTTAAATTAAATATTTCACTCCTATTCGTAATATTTGTTATATCTTGATGTATAAAGAGTGATGTTTTAGGATAAGTGTTGCACTGTAGATAACGCTCCTCTGAAAAATACTGCTCATCACCTTTTTTAATCCCAGAAAGGGTCGCATAAGAACAGCATATTCCTGTATAAGGCACTGTTTTCCGATGTCGTTACGAAAATAAATACTTAAAGGACTCGTGATATTTAATTGCACAACGTGTATTTACAAATTCATTTTAATTGTTTTGCATTCCTTCGAGTTTTTCAAATATAATTAAAGTTAATATGTGGCGCATGTACAATGATAATCGCTTTAAGTGCTCAAAATGCGACTTTGTCCACCCACACACAATTAATTATTATCACTAATTGGTAATTTTATTTTTCTATAAAAATAAATTTTTACATCAGCATTACTTATCCCGTTTTATCGTATTTATTCGTTACAGCTACAACACAATAAATTTTCCACTTGATTAAAATTAGTAAACACCATTTATGTATATAAAATAACAATTTATTTACCAACATGCTTTTAAGGATTTACCTATTTATTACTCTTTGAACACAAAAGGTATTTAAAATATCTTTACATATTCCACAAGCAAACAACGCAGCACTTTTCAGTCTTCTTTGGTTTTTGTAGGTATAAATCATCCAATATTTACTAAAAAATTCGCTGTCATTTTCTGCTAGATTCCAAATTACGAAAATATTCCAGGTCTTCTTGCTTAATCGATGGTTTAATATTTTTTATTGCAATTTGAAAATCGTCTAATGTTACAACAACATCGTTGAGTGTTGGTTGATTTGCACTTCCTTTGTAGCCTACAACATATTTTAAATTTAAGAGAAAAATACACTACCAGCAGAAAACAACGCAGCATATTCTCGAATGATAACAGGAAAACATGTTATATAAACACAAACATGCAGAAACTATCGAATAAAGGCATGCCATGAAGTTAGTTGATTTATTTGAAAATCATTTTCTGATATTTGTTAATGTGCAAAATAAATTTTTTGCTCGCAATTTTGCTACGGGTCAAATATACACCTTCAAATATGTAAATAAAAAAACTGAAACTACTGGGAGACACATATCAATTTCATTTGGATAGGCATAAAAACAAAAAACTGCAAAACTGACTAATAGTAATAACCAAAGAAAAAAATGGAACGACTGATGTAGACGTGACCACTCGTCTTAAATTTTTCTTCAAGATAATTTTATACTTTCTACATTAAATATAAGCAAAAACAACGCTACAGAAACGTTATACGAAAAACACCAAAGAAAAAATTGACATTGAAGTACCTATATAAGCATCGGGAATCGTATGTTAAAGGTAAAATTTTTGAAATTGTTTTATTCCTCTATAGAAATTTAAATTCAAAATTACATTCTACAACAAACTACTTCGCATTTGGCAAATTTCTGTTATCCTCCGACTAATAATTTAATAAACGTTGATTCTTAAAAAGTGATCGTTAGTGTATGCATTTTACTAACAAACAAACCAGTGTAAAAGTTGTATGATCGGGCTCTTTTTCCCTAAAATCGGATTCGTGAAATATTTTTGCCCTTTGAACGATTTTTAATATAGGTTTTATGATTAACGAATCTTGATTATTAAAAAATACAAAATGCATGGCAAAATAAGTATGTTCTTCTGACGATTCCTTTTAAAAGTAGACTTTTCGCCATGTTGACATGCGACATACCATTTTCGTTGATTCACTTACATAGTAATATACAGGAATAGATCAAGTACATTAACTAACTATAATATAATACAGATTTTCACGGCTATATAATGCAGATTAGAAATCAATTAAAAGGAAAAAAAAACTTGCCGCCTACTTAAAATGCATGGTCTCATATAGGATTGCCTGTCCTATTCAAAATTAACCCGGTTCGAAGCCGGAAAACGTATGTATTTCTATTATACAGCATATGTATAATTTAATGTTATTGAAATTTTAAAAATATTAAAAATAAAAACCTACTATAAACCAAAATCTTTTTACATACTTAAAAGTAAATCTGTGAATCGGGTTTGCTTCAGATTTGGATTTCTTTTCTATACAGGGTGAGTCATCACAGCACATAACTTACTTTTTTCTTTAATAAAACAACCTATATATTTTTACACAGTCCCATCGGCTTCTTTCTAGCCTGTATATTCATAATTTATTTTTTAATATCCAATGCGATATTGGCACGTTTTTTTTTTTCGGTGGTTGATAAAACGCGTCGAGAATTTTTTGTTTTACGGTGATTGTAGAGTAATGAACGTTGTAAAGAAAATATTTAACCAAAAAGAGAGTAAAGTGTTGTGACTTTGAGCAATACCTACAACTAAATATGAACAGGTGTTTGATACAGAACAATGGACTAATGTTAGTTTATAGTTTACTAAGAATAATATTTTTTTACTAAGAACGAAAATATGATCGCTTGTGTAGAGATGACTAGAAAGAATTATTATTGATGCTTCTAAAAATCTACTTTCTGAGACGCTCTATTTTTAAAGGGGCGGTGGCTCTCTCTTACATACGCCAATTAACTGCTTAAAAAAAAGCAACGAATTGGCAGACATGCCATTTAGCTTTTTTTAGTTTTTAGAATTTGCAAGTTTTTCTTGTAAAACAAATGCAAAAAAAATAGCTTTAATATTTAATATTTGTAAATTGTACCAATTTTTCTTAAAAAAAAAATGATCATTTTCTGACTAACGTTGTTCGCGGGTGTAACTTTACCAAAAATTTGGTAAAATGATGGACTGGATCGTGCAGGAAAGCATAATAATTGAAATAAATTCATGACTCAAATATAGATGTTTCGAAAACAAAGCGCAGAAAATGCTTTAAGAAAATATTATTTTACAAAAGCAAGTAAAACGTATCAAAAGCAATAAATATTGAACTTTGTAGAGTATTGTTTTCTCAATTTGATAATACATAATAAAAATTCAAATAAAATTTAAAAAAATTGTGACGATTTTTTTTAATTTATTTGCTTACCACCAATTGTTTCATGTTAATGAAGTGATGCATACATAGAACTCATTCGTCTTTATTTATAAATTACATCCCATTAACATAGCTTCATGAATAAAAAAGTTATTAAAGGTGGCCCCTTTTCGCTAACTCACCTTATCTATAACTTTGAATTTTTTTTTTTTTGTTACGATGTGGTCATTTCAAGTGTGACACGTCTATTATCTACCAGGTCTAATGCAAACTGACCTCGATTTAAATCAATAAAACATGAATCTAAACCCAAATCTGAAGTTAACTTCAGTGACATAATCTGGAACACCTGTTGGTGTACAATAAAATTTTTATTACTGACTATCTTTTGATGACTTATTTCGGCAAATGCATCACTATCACTATCATGATCTCAGCGTGTTCATGGGAGCTAGAATTATATTAAATCCAAAAATACACTAAGGTTTGATAGCAACGCTGCCGATCTAATTAAAGTATTTATACTTATAAATGTTTTACCATTTTCAATGTCCGATATCAGCCGTCGTACTGCAGACATCCACGCGCCTGAACAAATGCCATAAAAATCTGCCCCACTGAAGTTGTCAGGACAAATTTTAACAGTTTTGTCTATTACTGCATTTTCTTCAAGAAGAAACCTAAAATATATTTTTAATGCCAATATTAACTGTAAATTATTAATGAATCTTACTTTCGTGTTAAAGCTGTTAGAACTGCACTTTTAGAATCCTCATCAGTACAGGGACCCACATAAAGCAACTTATCAATTCTTCCAGGTCTTAGAAGTGCAGGATCAATTAAGTCAGGTCTATTGGTTGCTCCTAAAGGAAACAAGTAATATGATAGTAAAATTTTCTCTATCATAAAAGAGATTAAAAATTGTTGAACAATGTACTGTTTCAGTTACTTATAATAAACTGCACTACTGTTGCAAGCAGAAGTTCTGTTAGAGAAAGAATGGTAACTTCGTGAAATAATGCACAAAATCAGTGACTACTTGAATGAAATGCTTACTGGTTATCTCTAAATTATAACTTCAGTTCAGGTCTGCACTCTCCTGCATACTACAGTACCATTTTATATGAAAAATTAATACAATCAAATTGGAGTAGTGTATTTTTAAACAGAATTTTCAGTGTACTTTTGCGTAAAAAGCAAAGTATTCTTGAAATTAATGACAAAAACAAAGATTTGTCCAAATTGGCAACTTGTCACTAATTAAGTAAATAATTCTGGTTCCTAGTATACCAGGTATTTCTTTTAATGTAGCAATCTCATTAAATTATAATTAAAAATCATTCTTCATTCTTTCTGAACCACTTATCTAAACTTACAAACGCAAATGAGTTTATTTCTTACAGTTACACCTTTTTTTAGGGCAGTTTTATCTGAATTTCTCAGAAATAAGATTAAACTAATTTTCTTTATTACACTCTTACCTATGATAAAAATTACGCCGCTTTTATTTAAACCATCCATCTCGGCTAACAACTGGGAAACTACTCTATCCATTACGCCCCCCGAATCACCAGAAGCACCTCTGTTGGGAGCTAAAGAATCCAGTTCGTCAAAAAATATTATACAAGGGGAAGCGTCTCTAGCTCTTTCAAATACTAAAATTACCCCAAAATTCAATTACTAGTTCGGATGTTTTATTAATATATATATCTACCTTCCCTTACATTTTGTTCAGACTGTCCAACATACATATTTAGAAGTTCTGGACCTTTTACAGACAAAAAACATAAACCACATTCTGTAGCGACAGCTTTAGCAATTAGTGTTTTGCCTGTTCCTGGAGGTCCATAGAGTAATAGACCTAAAATAAACGGTCATTCAGTACTTCACATTTGTATGAGTAATTAAGAAAATAAATAAATTACCTGATCGTTTTAAACCAGTTGTTTTCAAAAGATCGGGATGTTTAAGTGGCAATTTTATTGTTTTTATTATCTCCTCTTTAACATCGCTTAATCCTCCAACATCGTCCCATTTAACTTGTGGTACTCTGGGAGCACCTAAGTTTTCATGGTATGTAGACTGCATAAATTCTACGAAGTAAAAAAAAATTGTACTTTTAATGCACACATTTTAAAAGCCAAACATACCTAAGGCTCGTAAAAAGTAATTTTCAGGTACACTTTCTTCATTAGTATGTTCACTATAAAATTCTGTCACAGCACGATGAGCTAATGCCTTTAAATCTTCAAATAAAAACCCATGTGTTTTATTGGCAATGCCGTTTATATCAGCGTCGGTTTTTGCATTCATGCTTTCTAAAATCCACCATAATATTTTTTCCCTTTCTGAATCGTTTGGAGCTTTGATGTCAAATATTTTTAAAAAAATTCGTTTTAACTCTCCAGGAATACATTTTTCATTACAACAACAAAACATGACCAATGGAAAGGAATTATTTCTGAAGAGACTACGGACTTCTTGTATGAAATGACTTATTAGTCTTTCGTCATATTCACCTTCGTTGTTTTTACCAAAATTCTGCAATTACAAGAACGAATGTCTAGTATTTTGAACCATGAAAAGGGCGGGGAGGAAAAAGGGGGGAGAAGGAGGCGGTAGATGGAGGTAGAGGGGGATGGTGGGGGAAACGGTGAGGGGGAGGGAGAGGGAGAAGAGGAGAGACTGAGGGACAGAAGGAAAGAAAAAAAATGGGTAGAAAAATAGAGAAATTACTAAATAGGTACTAAATACTAATGAAGAAGATATACAAACAAGAGGGAATGAAAGGGATAGACTGGAAAAATAAATATAAATAGTTTTTAACGTTAACACTTTACTCTTTATACTTCCAATAACTCATTTTTTTTTTTCAATGAAATTTGGTGTCTTGCCAAAATGTAGGTTTATCTAACGATACAAAGTAAAAAAAAATCTTACCTCAAAATCTTTGATCTCTACAATGGATGGTGCAACCATCTTGGCTCCAAAGAAAACATTTTTTAATTTCACTTCGTTCTGGGCATAAATATTAGCAGAAATATCAAAGTTGTTTATTGTGTACAGGTGCATTCCAAAGTAGTTAGCAAGGCACTGCACGAGTAAGCTTTTTCCACTTCCCTTACGTCCTTCCACCAAAAAAATTGGTTGAAAATTTGACTGAGCTAAAATAAGTGGGCTATAATCAAAATTAGCAGTACCTTGAACTCTATACTTTTGTTAACAAACGGAATGACTGCTTTCTTCATAGATTCGAAATAAGAAAAAAAACCTTCAGGACATGATAATAAGTCATCACATATTTCCCTTTCACAAGAAAATATTCTAGGAATAAAACTCTGTATGTTGCTCACTTGTTTTACTGTTGACTTATTTGTTGCACACAAGTAACCTTCGTGAACTAATTTTCCCATATAGATGACTTTTGTACATTTAAAATATAAAGTCTGTTTTATATTATTTAATTTATTCGATAAAAAAAATATTTCTTTTCCATATTTCTTTAAATCCACTGAAAGTACATCTCCTGTGCATACAAGTTTTGGAAGAGTGAAATAATTTTTTAAACATGTGTCAATAACAATTGGACTCCAGTCACTAGAAGTGTTAATTAAAGACAGTTCCACTTCATCGGCAAACTTGATACTCTTGTCTCTACAGTGTCGAAAAGTACAGTTACTAGCACTATTAAGATTAAATAATAAGTTGTAACTTATTAATGCAACGGAGTTATTTTTTAACGGTTTTTGAATAACATTAACTTTTCTTTTAATTATTTTATTTGAAGGTTCATTAGCAACTAAATATTTCAGACTGCCACCCTCTGTGTTTCCATTCACAATAACTGTGTTATCTGAATCCCACACTGCACTCTTTCCTACAAAGTTGGTAAAAAATGTGCTTGTAATAGCCCGAAGAGTAAATATTTGTTGTTGTTTCAAAACATTGCAGTAATTCAGAAACATGTACAGAATAAAACAGGATGAATTACGTCGTGGGTACACAATTCCCACCAAATACACCAAAAAACCAAAATCAGCATTTTTAATCATACTCAACTATCGCCAACAAAATTTACACCGTGCATTAATTAACGTAAAACTGACTTCACAATTTGTACAACTTGACAACCTCACTGTAGTTAATGCACTTTTGTTTCATTCTAATTTTCTCAATTGAATAAAGCATACATAACTACCACCTTATAGGTTAGAATGACACGGAGGGTTTAAAGGTTAGGTGGCTTTTGACAACTGTCAGGCTGTCATCATTAACTACGTCACTAACGTACAGCCAACCATGGAACAAAAAATAATATTCCTTGTTTGAATTTAAAACAATAATAATTTAGTGTAATCTGTTAATTACTATTAATTTTGAGAATGGCGTTGAATGATATTTAATTTCCTGAAACATACATCCAAAATATTAAACGTGAAAAACGCAAGCAATTGTTTTGATGATTTTATCTTCGGGACACGTACGGATTAAATTGCGATGAGTCATTGCACGTTGGAAAGCGCAAGCTCGAGCAAAATTTGAATGGTTAGTAACCACTCTTGTTTGTTCATCTTCTACCCATAAAATAAGGGTTGGTCGTGGTTGGTTCATATTTTTACAAGTAGAACAACTATTCATTGCACTCGCAATTCCCAGAAATGCATTGGTTTATTTTAATATTTATTAAATTTTCTACAAAGGTGAAAAATACAATTTAAATGTAACAGTTTTATTTTAATTAAGGAATTAAATCATAAGATATAGAAAATATCTTTGTGGGTAGCCTGGGGTAGCCCCTTTGTTAGAAGTAAGTATTGTTCGTAAATAAAATATGTGTACGCTTTATTCCTTGTAAGTAATAAACAAATTGCTTATCATTGCTCAAATTATTTACCTACGCTAGTAGTTAGACGAAAGAAAATCAATTCCACTACATGAAACGTTATTTATTATTTTTAGTTATAATCGTACTATCTGTCGCTTTATTATAAAAATAATGCATCAGTGGTTTTGGTATGTAACAACAGGCAAATCTGCTCATATTTAAGGAAAAATCTAAAAATGGGTTGCAACACAAGCAAGGATACTGCAATATCATTAGGAGGGGAGAATGCAGAAGAAAATAGTGAGAAGAGAAACACCGAAAATGTGCAAGGTAAATGGGTAGCCATATAATGTATGTATTTTAATATTTCGTGACAGCACTACGCAGTTCAAAGAAGTTCATATTTGGTAGCACTGACACATTAACGTGTATGCTATTTATTATTATTTTTTGCGTTATTGTGTGATGTCAAACGAAAATATTCATGTTGCATTTTTTAAAGAACTTTAAAATATTGCTAAACACAGCTGAAAAAAATCTCTGAAAAATTTAGACAGTTCTTCTTTCGCCTTCAGAAAGGTGATCTGGTGTGTGTCAGGGTTTTTCTTCATACAAATTTCTATGACATTTTTTATATATATATTAGGGTGATTCAAAAAAAAAAAAATATTTTTTTTTTTCGTGCAAAGAGGTTCAAAAGTTTCTTTTCAACGTAAAAAAATACCAGTTAAAATTTGAGCTCTTAATATTAATATTAAGACCGTCCGCATCGCGTTTTTCTATTTCCCATAAGAATAACATGGGAAAATTTTTGTTTGCACCTTCTGATTTTTATTGCTAGCCCGTCGTGTGTCGTGAAAAAAATTCAGTCACATATTTTTATAGAGAATTGAACGCTCTACAAAAAGTGTCTCCTATGATTGTGCGAGAAACCTGATAGTTGAAGAGTTATTTTAGGCTAAAGTTAAATTTATCCAAATTTTGACGTTTTTGATGCATTACAATAAATTTGATGGTCTTATTGGAATAAATCACCACAAAAATTTATACACATTTTAAATTTAGTTTTTTAAACAGTAATTGTTTATAATTTTATGCTATAATAAGGCCAGTAAAACTCTTTCCGAACATTTTCAGCATCAGTGGGTTAAAAAATCATAGTCAGGTTTCTCGCAAAATCATAGGAGACACTTTTTGTAGAGCGTTCAATTCTCTATAAAAATATGTGATTGAATTTTTTTCACGACACACGACGGGCTAGCAATAAAAATCAGAAGGTGCAAACAAAAATTTTCCCATGTTATTCTTATGGGAAATAGAAAAACGCGATGCGGACGGTCTTAATATTAATATTAAGAGCTCAACTTTTAACTGGTATTTTTTTACGTTGAAAAGAAACTTTTGAACCTCTTTGACACGAAAAAAAAAATTATTTTTTTTTTTGAATCACCCTAATATATATATATATAAAAGACGGCGTCATCATCTATGCTGCATGCTGCATATATGTATGTAGTAGAATTTTTTTATATACAATATTATTTAGAGGAAACCATCAACGTTGTAGTAGGCATGAATATATCAGTATATTATAATAATTGGAAAATCATACGGAGTGGGTGTTGGAATATCATTTGACACAAAGCTCTGTTCTTATAACATATAGCATATAACAGGTTATGTTTCTGCCAAATGGATGTTATAAGAACAGACATGCCGTTTGTGTCAAATGAAATTCCAACGCGTTCTCTAAGTGATTTTTGAATTGAACACCCGTTACATACTAATAAAATTAGCAGGTGTGACGTCCTCAGAATTTTGGGAAGATTAGATAGACATTTTTTTATTTAATCAGTAAAATTACTCCATTCATTTTTTAAACATCCTGTATGAATAATTCTAAAAAATAAGAATATATTACTTATTAAAGCGCAAACAAAGTGCATCTTTAGGCACATATATTAATACACTTTTTTTTTATTTTTACAGTTTTGTGAACACGACATTAACTTTCAACAATGGATGAATAGATACTATTTAATCGTCATCCTGTGGTCATAAAATCAGTATTTTGCCAAAATTTTAAAAATTCGTTTTGTGGAATCTAAGACAAAATGTAAAATTTGCTTGTACAAATTTGATTTTTTTTTACTATAATCGTATACGTGTGATTAAAAACGCAGATATTAAAAGTACAGAGAGATCGAAAAAGAAATTAGTCAAAGTTGGCCATGTACGAAAAGGCGTTTGTCTTAGTTTAAAACAATTTTTTATTAAACGTCACGTTGACAAAAGTAATTTGCAATGTTATCAAACGAAGTTAAACCTTTTTTGTTATTAGAATCTTACTTCAGAAATGGGACAAAATTGGGACAAAATTGGAAAGCGGTGATTTGGATTCACTTTTATGTGTAAATAGGTGTTATAATTCTAATTTTAAACTATCAATTTGACATTTAATAAAAAAAAAAAAATACGACCAACGGCTTGTCGTGAATGGCCAACTTTGACTAATTTCTTTTTCGATCTCGCGGTATACATAATTTAATTGTCGAATAATAAAATAATAACATGTCTGGATTATTGATAAAGGGAGCTTTTCAATGAAGTGCCACAATAACACTAGTGTGGTAGTCAAATGTGAAAAAATTGGCGTGGTGGAGATAACCCCAAAATTGCCGACTAGCTGCCTAGTATGTACGCTGCTATGTAAACATCTCGTTCAAATGCTAGAAACTGTTTTGTTATTAAAAAAATCGTAGCGTTTAGGTAGGTTTTACTATGCTTATTTTGTTGATAAGATAAATCTTTTAGGAAATGTAGTATATATTGTGACAACACACATCAAGCACTAACCATGGTTTTTGGTATCTTGAGATAGAAGGGAGAAGCTTTCTTTGGGGGCAAATTACATTTACATGTATAAAATATATATATATAACTCGTGATATGAACACATTTAAATGGCACCAAATTTTGGAGCTGGTAAAGCTGTAGGTACCTATGTGAATACAGTAATTTTATTTTTCTAACAGCGTGCGGAAAGTGACTATAGTTTATTAATTGCAAAAAATATTGTACACAACACGTTCATGAAGCCTGCTTCCCGCACTGCCGCAAACAAGTGTTCATCCGGGAATCAAAAATTTCTATTTCCTACTACTGTGCTATTTTCGGACTATTACCTAATTAAGATAACCTTAGCAACGATTTGGAAGAAGCAGTTTTACAAACCAGTGCGTTTTAGATATCGCAAATGACACATGTCCTTTTTGTTTTCGGATTTTATTTTTCATAGATATTTATTACATCATAATTACAACAAATGATATTAACCGAACCTGAAATTGTAGTCTGTTGACTATCTACAGGTGGAGCGCAACATTCTTCAACGCTACTAGAATCATTTTTGATCAAATATGCATCATCATAATAAGCGGACACGATTTACATAAATATGGCCATCAAAAACATTGAAGCACATAAAATTATTAGCAAAATACCTTAACAACGCATAAATGGTATTAGCTAGTAATCTGATTCAATATATCAATTTAGTGAAAATTTATTGTTTATTATTTCAAAGATATTCGTAGAGTTGGAGAAAAAACTTTGTTTATAACACGTGTCGAAAAAGCTTACGTTAACACTATATTTTTACGTAATGGTTCTTTTTCGGCACTTATTATACAAACAACGATTTTATTGTATGGGCCAAGGACGAATTTTGTTGATTGTATGTAGTCATACTCGCATAAATCCCGTACAACCTCACTATTGTAATGTGTCAAAATTAATACAAAATTAATAGTATGCATACAAATTCAGATTTTCATCTGTACAGGATTTATGTGAGCATGACTGTACGTTAATATCAACAAGTACTGTTTAAGTTGGCAATAGAATTAAACAATTTGTCAAATTTGATTCATATGCTTGGCGCTATGTCACTGTTAAGCCTTCAAGAAATTTTGTTTATGACATTTTAATAATATTCAATAATAACAATAATTTTGACGTAAATTAAAAGTCACTTTCAACCATGTCAGTTTTGACAACAGGAAGTAAAATGGAGTCTCAGCAAGCAAAATTTATCGCTACCATCAGAAAAATTGCTTGTTAATCACTCTATTACCGTAGGTATATAATAATTTCCACCCCACTGCCTCTTCCTACTCTTTTTTCTGTTACGGAACTTTTTGCCGCATTCTACATAGTACGCTTATTTCACTTCCCTTGGTTTGGCAGACTGAGTTAATTAATACATGGCCAGTTAACCACTTTAGAAAACACTAACCTAATCGAAGACTTTTTCGTGCCACTTTGATAAAAATAACACTAGACGCACAAAACATAAAACGCTTACTATTTAATTGCTGCCCTATTTGCCTCGATAAATAATTCTCTGGAGACTAGTGGACATGGATAGGCATAGATTTCTGTGGTAAGCCTGAGTTAATTAACATTTTCAGCTTTTTTGAAAAATTATAAAATTTGATTTTGCGAAATAAATGTAATAAAGCGCGCTACCCGTATATTTCGGACACATATCTTAATATGGATAGATATGGCAGTATAATACTAATAATAACAGTATTGTAGTCCCAAATTTTCGGGAAAATGGAATGAGTCTTTCCTGAGTTAATCAATAAAATGAATTGACTGGTTCATTATTTTTTTAGTCATCCTGTATCTAAATATGTCAATTCTAAAAAATCTGAATGGAATGATAAATTACAAGTATAGTCATCATAATTTCTACATTTTAGATAGGATTTATTTGGCAAAATTTTGAGATGACGTCATCAGTTTTTAGGAGTGGTCGTAAATGGATAAACTTTGATTAACGATTAACCCTGTTTCAGATAACATTAAGACGTTTACAAGGTTTCAGATAACCTTAAAATATTTACAAGGTTTCAGAGCGTTCGGTTTTGCAATTTCAAGTTTAAATTGTAAAATCTAATACAATTTTGATTTTTCTTTTAAATCTAGATGCCTAGGGCAAAATCTCAAACGGATTAATAAACTAGAATTGGAGGAGTATGTTGTTTTATAAAATTTAAATAACATTTACAATTGTAAAAGTTGGAGATGATGTGATATCATTGTTGGGTGATCAGACAAATTTTGTTTAGCGTTTTACCATCTACACGATATTCTTAATACAAAATTTGACAACAATCGTTCTGGTAGTTTAGAAGATTTATGTCTCTAATAAAAATCGACACAGACGCGAACAGACGACAGACGGCATACAGATACGAGAGAGTCATGTTTTCGTACGAGTTAAAAATACTTAAAGAAATATGACTTATGCCATTCGTTTA